CTATGACAGCATGTTTATGTCACCTGCCCCATATGCCAAATTTTTTCACAACATGATGGTCATGTCATCCGAATCGTAGTTAATCACATCTATTGTACAGCAAAAGTATTCATTCACATTTGCATAAGTACTGTATAGAGGAAGCTTCCATTTGCAATATATCTTATACATTTAATATCCCTCTCTCTCAATCGGCAGGGAGTGAATGGCATTCTGGAGTCTCCAACAGGCACAGGCAAGACTCTGTGCCTGCTCTGCTCAACCCTGGCCTGGCTGGAGGTCAAAAAAGCAGAGCATAAGGCGCGTCTGCACAATGTCGCTGGGGGAGATGCCGACTTTATGTCTTCTCTGAGCTCGCAGCTGAAGGCAGGGTCTGGGTCAGCCTGGGGAGAAAAGAATGGTACGTCGAGATGAGATGTGTTGAAGGGATACTTGTTGATTTGAAACTAGCACTCTTTAGGGGTACAGAAGTGGGTTTTATTTTCATTGTAATTTTGGGTATTAGAGGTTTTACTGAAATTTTATAGGTACTTTCTGGCATTTGAATTTATATTAGGTCTGTTATTATCTGTTAGATAAAGGAATTATAGCATAGATATCTAATGTCTTTTATTTAGTTTAGACTTTCTTTTATGTGTTTTAAAAATATATAATTTAGAAAGAAATTTATTATTTTTTATTCTGGGACCAGCAGAAAATAAGATATTTTGAATAATCATATATTTTTTTTGATAAACATTTTAGCTGATGTTGATTTTAGGTTCAGTTATTCAGTCTATTTTATGTAATGGTCATTGAATTATTTGTCATATTTGAACATAATTTCTGTTAATTTTTTTATTTTCTTGCACAACTGAAAAATACATTGCAGGCATATGTCTATTTTTCTTTTTCATCTGTTTCTCAGCTCCACCAAAGATCATATACTCTTCGAGGACTCACTCCCAGCTCAGCCAGGCAGTCAATGAACTGAAGAGAACTACCTATAGCTACCTCAAGGTTGGTGACTGATAGGATTGTGTTGTAAAGTATGTAAATTCTATATCAAATGGAAAAATAAAGAGAAGTAATGAAAATTCCTGTTAAATCTCTTGTTAGTCAGGCATTGCCATATATATATATATATATATATATATATATATATATATATATATATATATATATATATATATATATATATATATTTATGTATATATATTTTTTTGTTTTTTCTTTGTTTTCTTTTTTTTAATATTTGGCTAATTTCCAGTTCCACACATTTTGATAAACCAAATGTCTTCATATCCAGGTGGCAGTACTAGGATCGCGTGACCAGATGTGCATCCATCCAGAGGTGTCTAAGGAGACCAACAATAACAACAAGGTGCACATGTGTCAGCTGAGGGTCAAGGCCAAGACGTGCTACTTCAACAACCAGGTTTGATTCTGAATTATCGTGTTTGTGTTTATGCAGTCCTTGTATAGGGGTGTATGTAATCTGTGTTTATGATATACATACATATCTACAGGATCTTATGTGCGTGTGCATGTTTATATAATGGACATTTATATCTACATTATCTTTTGTACATGTTTACAGTACACTATACGGGATACATGAAGGGCTTCTTGCAATTGGGGAAATTCAGAGAAATGCTCATCAATCCTCACCTTTTTTTCATCAGGTCGAAGCCAAAAAAGACGACCCAGAAGTACGCCAGAAGGCACTTGACATTGAAGACCTTGTCAAAGTTGGCCGCAAGAAGACATTCTGCCCATATTACATGGCGAGGGAACTCAAGCAAGATGCCGACATAATTTTCCTGCCATACAACTACCTCCTGGACCCCAAAAGCCGGAAAGCGCATGGAGTGGAGCTTCAGGTGGGGTGTGGTTTTGTAACAATAGTTGGACATGTGTGTGTATCTGATGAGATTTGTATGCCTTGTCTTTTTTCACAATTTGTCACATATTATAAATATATTCTATTATTTTTTTTTACTCAAAGTGTACATTATCAATTTATTTATCTATTTATTAATCTTGGTTATTGTTTTGTATTTAAATAGTAGTATCATAATTACTTCTATCTTCAGGGTAATATTGTGATATTTGATGAAGCTCACAATGTGGAGAAAATGTGTGAGGAAGCTGCGTCTCTGCAGATTCGCTCGACCGACATAGCACTGTGCATTGATGAAGTAACACAGGTGATTTATGAGTTGCTGTTGAGATAGTGGGTCTTAGAGCTTCTTGTAATTATTAATTCTGTATTAAACTACTCTCTGTACAATGATTGAATAATTTTGAATGAAAAATTAAGAGCATAACAAGATACTTGTAATGCTAGATAAGATAATTGTATTCAGAATGAAATTGATAGGTACAGGCATGGACCTAGGTGAAGATAATCTTAGTAGACGAAAAGTATTTGAAGGAGAATATGAAACTAATGAAATGGAATTTGTCAAATACTGAAATGGAAAATCATTGGCCACAGACACCAACATTTATGGTAGTAAAAGTAACAGATAATTAACCACAGATAATTCAGATATGTCTGTCCCGATGCAGAGACTTCACACTATAACAATGGACTTCTCGATTTCAGGTCATGAAAAAGATGCAGGAGATGAGCGAGGGATCCAACATCGCGGCCAACGATGTCTCCGAGGTGATGCCCGAAGACTTCAATCCTGACGACCTCTACACCTTGAAGGCCCTCTTCTTGGAGCTGGAGAAGGTGGGGGTTGGGGGCATGGGAGGGGGGGGTAGGGGGGAGAGTGGTATTTGTTTGGGGGGGGTGAGAGGGGTGTTTGTTTGGGGGCGGGGGGTGAGAGTGGTATTTGTTTGGGGGGGGTGAGAGGGGTATTTGTTTAGGAGGGGGGATTGAGAGGGGTATTTGTTTGGGGGGGGTGAGAGGGGTATTTGTTTGGGGGGGGACGAGAGGTGTTTGTTTATGGGGGGGGGAGTGGTATTTGTTTGCCTCAAGGGACATCATGCCCTGTTATCTTTTTATGTTATTTTGTTATATACCTTAAGGTGAGGGTTAAGTTGATTTGTGGAAATTAGCAGTATATATTGTCACATTTAATATATCTTCCTCACACATTTACATATACACATTGATGAACAAATGTACATAATTTTTGCATATAGATTTCTGTTTAGCAGTGGTGTTATCTTGCATTTTTAATCATACATAAGTATATTGATTTTAGTAATTTATAAAACTATTGGAGTTAACAAGGTGTTATGACCCACTGTTTTGGTTCCCTCTTCCCAACTTGACCTAATAGATATTGATTGACATGGATCAATTAATATCTATTTTTTTATTAATCTGCATCTCTCTCTTATTGAATAAGGTGCTTATACAGAGGATGAGTGTTGATAACTTTGTAGATTTGTCTTGATATTAACTTCCCACGTTCCAGGCTGTTGACAGCATACCAATCAAAATGGGAGACGCTGGCACCACCTACCCCGGCAGCTTCATGTTTGAGCTGCTTGAGAAGGCCGAAATCACGCACCACAAGAAGAACGTCATTCTGGAGGTTTTGGAAAAGCTGGTAAGGGTCTCTCGTTTATCTTTGTCTCAGTGTCTGTTGTTTCTGCCACTCTCTCTCCCTTTGGCTGATGTATATTTGTAGCTGGGCACATATTACTGCCTTTTGTATTTATGAATGGCTTTTTTTGCTATTCTGATGACATGAAGTATTCTTGGTTTATTCTTATTTTTCAAAGTGATTGATCCCTAGTTTGTGTTTTTATTTGATTTCTGAAACATTTTCCTTGCATTCAAGATTACCGGTATGATTTTGTGAATTTAGTTTTCAAAGAAAGACTAATTAAAGAGGCTTAAAAGGGTAAGATGTTGCTCCCCAAATCCTGCACTGAAAAGTCTTCAGAAGCCCATGGACCCTGCCGCTTGGACCAGGAATTTAGAACTACATCAAAAAGAGACACTAGCAAAAGTCTGGAGGTCATGTCTGTCAAAAGATTTCCTGGATGTCATGCATGTCCTCATCTCCCTCCTTCGCGGTTACAGGTGCAATATCTGACGACAAACAGCGCCTCCCCGTTCCAGCGAAAGGGAGCAGGCCTGCAGAAATTCTCTGAGTTGATCAAGGTTGTGTTTAGCAAAGATAACTTCACTCTCCAGCACATGGAATATGTGAAACAGTGCTACAAGGTATGAATGACACATCGTATTGTGAAATGCTGTTAGAGTTTTAATGGATGTAGTATTGAAACTGGTGTTTTTCTTCCTCTGGTGTTTTATTTTTTCTGTAATTTTTTGGATATTGTGATTTTCTGGCCAGGTGGAATTTGTAGGAGATTACCGTGTATATTATAAACATCTAGTTCAGGAAATTCCAAGATTCATTTATTGAGTACAGTTTCCTATTTTCAGTAGAAAAAGTAGGATAAACAGGTGAGAATAGGTTATGACTTCTTGTCAATGTAGTACTTGTGTGCTAATGAAAATAGGCTTAAGTCATAGTGGATATAGCATGTATCATCCTGGAATCAATGGTTTAACAGGTGACTGGGAATTAGACATAAAATCATAAAACATTTAATTGATAAAATTATAATTGTTAGATGGACAGATCTGTCATGTCATCTATCACAGATCTATGGTGTGATACATTTATATTAATAATTGAATCTAAATAAGACAGAAACAAGAGAGATCTCTTTTTTGGTCAACATTAGCTTCACTTTGGCGTAACCCACTCTCATCTGTCATTGCCTGCAGGTCCACGTGAGCATCGAGGAGAACAAGAAGAAGGCTGGCGCTCGTCAAGAGGGCTGGGGAGCTGTCAAGACCAACAACGTCAGCACTAAAGTTGGTCGAGTCATTTCATATTGGTGCTTCAATCCTGGCTTCGGGTTAGTCGTCTGCAGGGTGGGGTTGTTTCGTTATATTGCATTTAAATTGGCAGAAAGAAGTGTGTTTATTAGTTTTTGTTTGTGTTTTTTTCTGCCTGTGTTATGTTTAACCTCTCATTTCTTTCTCAACTCTTTTCTTTTCCTTTCTCTCTTTTCTTTTTCCATGATCATTTGGCTTTATTTGTGTCTCCCTCCCATGAAGAAATAAATATATGATTTGCATAATCGAATGCTTCATGTAAAAAAACTTCTTTTATAGTACTTTATTTTTCATGAATATTTTCAGAGTACATATTTTTCATAATGTCTTATTCAGCATTTTACACATTTCCTCTTGTTCCTTCCCCATGGCAGTATGAAGGACCTCTCTGAGCAGGGTATCAAGTGCATCCTCCTCACCAGTGGAACTCTGTGCCCTCTCGAGTCTTTCACCTCAGAGCTGCAGGTAGGGGGTGTTTGTGTTCTTACTTTTACTCCTTTTTGGTCTTCTTGATTGTTGTCTCCTTTTTCTTCTTCAATCATCTTTTTTTCCTTTTACTCTTGTTCTTGTTTTTGTTGTTGTTGTTGTTGTTGTTGTTGTTGTTCTTCTTCTTCTTCTTCTTCTTCTTCCTCATCTGCCTCCTCCTCTTCCTCCTCCTTTGCCTTCTGTCACACATTGCACGAAAGATAAACTAGACTCCCCCCCCCCCACCGCCTCTCAGCCCGCGCCCCTTTGCAGGTTCCGTTCCCGATCCAGCTGGAGAACCCGCACATCATCCAGCGTCACCAGGTGTGGGTGGGCACCATCTGCAACGGGCCCGATGGCTTCAACCTCAATTCGTCCTTTCAAAACAGGTGCAGGAATTTTTATTTTTTGTTTGTTTATTGATTTTGTTTTTTTTATTTAGTATTCTTATTTTGTATTCATGTTTTTGGGAGGCGGTATTGAAATCTGAGGCATTGCTAAGGGATTGACGCGTTTAACCCATTGCCGCCGGGGTTGGCATGTACGTACATGCCATGCCCACTGTGAGTCGACTTGTTCGATTGTTTTTACACATAGATGGCTACACTTGTACTGAGTATCCAGTGAGCCAATTATGAGTACTACCTGTCCCGCCCATTCACCTTTTTCATTGATTTACAAAAATATTTAACATTATCCTAATTTGCTGTTAAAAATAACACCATCTATATTTATAGCACTAGTAAAAATACGTTTTTTCCCGCCAATTCGAGGAAAGGTGAAATCAGGACTAGCAGAGCCATCTATGGACAGAGATATTTCACAAAAATATTAAAAAATGAGTACTGCATTTACCCCATTCTTTGTTCATTTTCCCCGGTGGCAATGGGTTAAAGAGTTGGTTTTATTAACTCATTAAATTCACACCATAGATTAGTTTTACTTTTGAAGTGTAGAGATCCAAATTTACATTGAGAAAATTTAAATACATCACAGTTATTTTGCAGAATTTTATAAAATGGTATAGTTTACCTTGCATCCACACTCAAGAGTGAAATATTTGTCTTGTATGTTGTTGTTCTACCTGATTATTGTATCAGAAAACCATATGAGAGTGATGATATGTAAAAGGCATAATAAAAATAATGACCTTAAATGACAGCCATAATCATAATACTTGACATTCTTGTCATCTGAGAATTAATTGGAGGAGACTATATAATACAAAAATCATTCTAACTTAAAAGTTCGATGTTAAAAACACGTATGTTCGTTGTTGTCTCAGGAGTGACCCGCGCTACATCAGCTCGTTGGGGCAGACCATCCTGAACTTTTCCCGCATCGTGCCTGATGGCTTGCTGATCTTCTTCCCTTCCTACCCCATCATGCGAAGCTGCCGGGACGAGTGGCAGAACTCAGGCATCTGGAGCAGGATTTCGGCCACAAAGGTAAGGGTTCGGCCGGGAGTTCAGGCCGTGGACAACCATCGTTTTATAGGAAGAAATTTTGGTTCGATCTCCACCCACGAGGATGAGATCCCAAGTAACGACAGCCCTTTTTTCATTTCATTTTAGTTACTTATTTTAATCATCGGTCTACCTATGTATCTATTTATTTTTTGCTTTTTGAATCTTGCAAAAAGGAAAACGGAGAAATGAACACACAGTTTGGGGGGAAAAAAAAAAAAAAAAAAATATCCACACACACATAAGGCTTATTTGTATTTATATTTATGTTTATATCCTATTCATCTATTCAGCCGATCTTTGTGGAGCCCCAGACGAAGGATGAGTTCCACAACGCCATGACGGAGTACTACCAGAAGATCAACGACCCGGCGCTGAAGGGGGCCTGCTTCATGGCAGTCTGCAGGGGGAAGGTGAGGGGAAAGAGGGGAAGGAAGGAGAGGAGGAGGTGCAAAAGGAGGAGGAAGAATGATGGATGGGATGAAGAAAGAAGGAAAGATAAAAGGAATGAAGAAAGAAGGAAAGATAAAAGGAATGAAATGAATAAGGGAGGGGGAAAGAGAGAAGGGAAGAATGAAGGATGGGATGAAGAAAGAAAGAAAGATAGTAGGAATGAAAGGAATAGGGGAGGGAGAAAGAGAGAAAGGGAGAATGATGGATGGGATGAAGGAAGAAGGAAGAAAGAATGAATGAATGAAAGGAATAGGGGAGGTGCAAGAGGAGGAGGAGGAAGAATGATGGATGGGGTGAAGAAAGAAGGAAAGATAAAAGGAATGAAATGAATAGGGGAGGGAGAAAGAGAGAAGGGGAGAATGAAGGATGGGATGAAGAAAGAAAGAAAGATAAAAGGAATGAAAGGAATAGGGGAGGGAGAAAGAGAGAAGGGAAGAATGAAGGATGGGGTGAAGAAAGAAAGAAAGATAGTAGGAATGAAAGGAATAGGGGAGGGAGAAAGAGAGAAGGGGAGAATGATGGATGGGATGAAGAAAGAAGGAAGAAAGAATGAATGAATGAAGTGAATAGGGGAGGGAGAAAGAGAGAAGGGAAGAATTATGGATGGGATGAAGAAAGAGAGAAAGAAAGACAGAAGGAATGAAAAGAATAGGGGGGGAGAAAGAGAGAAGGGAAGAATGATGGATGGGATGAAGAAGGAACAAAAGAAAGAAAGAGTAAATGAAAGGAATAGGGGAGAGAGAAAGAGAGAAGGGAAGAAGAGATGAGGGAGGGAAGAAAGAAGAGAGAGGAGGGAGGGAGAGAGAGAGAGATAGAGAACTGGATGTTGAGCGAAAAGGGGGAAACAAAGGGAGGAGATAGGAGAGAGTAAAGGATAAAAATGAAAATATGGAAAACGAAAATGAAAGAAAAATAAAAATCTCTATATACCTGTTTCCCTCTGATTTTGCGAAAGGTCTCCGAGGGCCTGGACTTTGCCAACCGCAACGGCCGGGCAGTCATCATCACGGGCCTCCCTTACCCCCCCTTCAAGGACCCCCGCGTCGTGCTCAAGCAGAAATACCTCGAGGAAACCAGGCTCAAGAATAAGGTAGGGGAGTGTGGGATTTTTTCGCGCAGTATGGAAATGATGAATAGTATTAATGGCTAGAAAAATGGCAAAAACACAAATAATTCAGAATGAAACCATTCCATATATATATTTCAATTAATTTCAAATGTCAAAGGATGATAAAAAGGAATTATTTTCATTTGGTAAGACTGATATCCAAAGGCAGAGGACAATAGAAATTACTTTAGGGTAATTCCATATGAAATCAACAAATTGAAAACAAAAATTTCCCCTTACAATGTGTGAATCTTTCCACATTTCATGAACTTGTTTCCCATGGTAAGAAAAGACTAATTTCAGTTTAATATCTGTAATAGGGGCTGAGAAATTAGTTACTAAAGATTTTCCCCGTTCCGCCCGGACCGCAACCTCCTAAACAGTAAAACATTAATAACTATTGTTCTAGTTGTTCCATTGGGTCCAGTGATAGCTCAATTTAAAGCTCTTTTCAAGCTCTGTTCAAATATGACATGTTCTCCAACATATCCGACATGACAAAAATACCAATCTTGAAAAACCATCTTTATTTTCATTGGCTTCCTGTGAATTAGTACCTCTCCCCCCTGAGGCAAATTTTATATCAAAAGCTTCCTTTATGTATAGATAACCATGACACAAATGTATAGAGTGGGCCCTCTATGGATGACTGAGTTATGGCCTTTGGAAAAAACATAACTCCACAAAATGTCGACAATAAAGGAAAATATTAGAAACTTCTCTAATGTCTCTTACAAAAACGTACATTGAAGGCTATAGATGTAAAAAAGAGTTTTTAATTGAGTTAGCAATCAAAGCTGCAACAGTAAAAAAGTCAATGTTTGGAAACGAGAAAGAGGTTGCTGGTCCTGATGGATGCAGAAATTTTACTTTTATTTCTCTTGTTGCTTGAAATTGCTCAAGAACATATGGAAGACACCATTTGCCATCATACTCACATGAAACATATCCATTTACCTTTTCCCATTCTAGTAATTCTTTCAAAGATTCAAATACATATAAATCAGACTCGTCTGTCAGGTCACAACTTTCATTCAGCTTTAGACAAATTTCACTTTTTTTTTTTTTGCAGAATTTTCCTTCATTGAATACAACTTGGCAAATCTCAACTAACCTCCCACCAAAGAGTTCACTTAAATGTCCTTTCCGTATTTCATTCATTCATCAATTGCTTCCTTTGGAGGAATTAAATAGTCAATAAATACAACATGGGTTCCTTTAACACCTCTTTTCACTCTTTACTTCCTTGGATCTTATTTTTAAACTTAAGGATAATCATGTTATGTTCCTGAGAATACCAAACAGGAAACACTTCAAAGTATACAATATCAACATTCAAAGTAAATATAGGGCAATCAGATTTCGACCCTGTTCACACTAGTGCATTTTTTAATAAAAGCGGATATATTTAGCTCCCTCTTTAGTTTTGCGTTCACATTACACTACCTCAAAAACGGAGCTAAATGAGAATGATGATAAAAATGGAGATGAATGAAAACGGAGCCAAACAAAAACGTATCTTTGTAGTGTGAACACGACGGAATTTCAAAATGCTGAAAACATTCAAATAGAGACAATCAGATCCATTTTTGAGAATGAGTGTGAACATCAAATGCGAGATATCCGTTTTTGATTGAAGATGGCTTAGTA